CTACATATTAAATTGCATTTTTGTGTTATACAAATCGTACTTGAGTCATTGATCACCAAACAAAACACAATACGAAGAAATGTTGAGATAGGCAACGGAAATGTGAGATAAACTGATATGTTTCTACATATTAAATTGCATTTTTGTGTTATACAAATCGTACTTGAGTCATTGATCACCAAACAAAACACAATACGAAGAAATGTTGAGATAGGCAACGGAAATGTGAGATAAACTGGTTGACGCATAAAGTAATTATCAACTCATTACGGAAATACTTTAGATTAGAATTTTTACGTACTGGTGGTATATAAGACCAACAAACGCAGTCATCGAGTTAGTGTACGGTCGTTTGGCTACAGTGGATCTATCAATAGTACATTTTGTGTTACTTCAATACACCAAAGGCTATGGATGTAAGTGTTTATTCTATTGACTAAATTACTTTTTTTCTGTTATTTTCATGTGTGTGTATTATTTTATTTAAATATTGTGTATGTATATGATTAAGCCGTGGTAACTCAGATGGTTAGCGCTAGCTGTAAATTTCACAGTACGCGACCCGGGTTCGATCCCCGCCAGCACCAATTAAATTGTTAATAGCAATTTTAAGTGCTTATTACCACGTGCTTGGTGGTGAAGGAAAACATCGTGAGGAAACCTGCATGTCTGAGAAAATTTCGAAGGCATGTGAAGTTCGCCAACACACATTGAGGGAGCGCGGCGGACATTTCCTTGCTCTAAAACCCTCTCAGAAATGAGAGGAGGCCTATGTTCAGCAGTGGACTTTAATAGGCTGTAACTTTAACTTTTTTAACTTTTATGATTAAGTGTTAACAAATTGATATTAACATGATAACTGTGTTGTTGCAGAAATCATTGAGCTTCGATGAAGATACCTATAAACAGTATTACTACTCGCCACTCTCCCCTCAAGAAGAGAGTGATGACCTCGTCATTAATAATAACACATGCGATGGTGGAAAAAGAAAATCGCAATCGATTGATCATTTTTTTGAAGCTGAATCAAAAATAAAAAAGAGGAAGCTGTTATCATCAACCGTAGCACGAGCCGCTAGAGATGGTGTATCATACATTTCTACTAATTCTGACGACGGAGACCAAGCGACGCATCTCATCAAAATTGAAATGTACCATATGAAGAAGCTATCCAAGATTCCAACTACTGATCATTGGAAACATGTTTCCACTAGAATTAAATATTACGTAAAGACTAATAAGGATAGCATCTACGACAACACAAACGCCCTCGTATACAATATAACAAAGACAATAGCAGAAAGTGAAAAAGTTAAAAAATACTTTTTTAACAATGACAGTCATTAGCTGATCATTAGTGAATGTGATTCTGTTTACTTCAATTACAGGAAGACAAGAGCGGAAGGAAGAGATGAGTGTGGCATACGTGTACAAAACACATCATTGAATAACAAAACTACAACACTGAGTGGAGAAGAAAACGAGAAGAGTATGCAGTACTCAAGAGCTGAATATCCATTCTTCAGTTCAAAATCTAGCCGTTTGCTTAGTTTCGAAAACTGGCCTCTAGTTATGCGACAGAAACCTGAAGATCTTGCAGAAGCTGGTTTCTTTTATACTGGCCATGCAGACGGGACCAAGTGTTTCCATTGTGGTGGTGGTTTAAAAGATTGGGAAGATGATGATGATCCTTGGCAGCAGCATGTTCAGTGGTTTAGTCAGTGTGCTTATGTAAAATTTCAACTCAAACAGTGTTTTGTATTAGATTAAATAGAAGATTTATAAAGAAATAAAAAAAAATATATTGCATACAATTTGTTTTATTTAATTTTATAACGTTTCACATAGTTACATACACACAAAATGCATTACACATAACACATAAAATCTAACACACAACACATATTATAACCTTAACTACTATAGTCTACAGTAACATTTCTGTTTTTATCTATCTCAATAATATTATCAAACTCAGCATAAACTATACAGTTAATTGTTTGTATTAATGAGGATTCAAATCGTACTTCTATTCTTACACTACCATGCTTTATGAGATTCCAATGAGTTGATGAGTTAGCTGATAAATCAGGAGTTAAGTCAAATGCTAATAGACAGTAACCTTTGCCATACTGTTCACAAGAGATTCCATTTCCTTCATTAAGAAAGTGAATACCAGTTCCCGAGAATAGAGTATGATATGCTGATGTAAATATGCTATTATTAAAAGATGGTTGCAAAGCTTTTGAAGGTATTTGTTGACCATCAATATATAAGCTGAAAGAATTAATACCATAGTTTTCAAAGTTAAATGGATTTTTAGTAAGGGAACCATTAAATGCAGAATTGTTCACAAATCCAATTATACATCTTTTCGGTACCTGTCCTAAAAATATATTATCAAGAGTTTTTCCTTGAACACCCGAAGGAATTGTTAAAACTTTTACTTCAGCTCGAGTAATAGGATATTTAGCAGTGGTAGAAGCTAAAACTTTTTGATGTGCGAGTAATACACTTGGATTAATTCGTGCTCGTCGAACAATAAGAGTTGCGTCCGTAATACAAACTTTAAACTTTACATCGTTTGATCCAACAATTAAATTAAAACTCTCTCTTGATCGAACCAATTTAACACTCATTTCAACACCATTAATTAAAAATTTATCTTGGTTAAAAATGTCACCGTGAAGATGACTAATCATTTCTATTTCCTTACTTTCACTAATCAATTCCTGTCTTTTAACAAATCCTATGTTTTTACCATCTGTAGAATCCATTTTTCCTGCTGTATCCTCATACCAAAGACTACAAGTAAGATGAGATTGTTTAGCAGCAGGGGCATAGTTTAAAAGGGTTTCCATGTATGCTCGATATGCATAGGTATTATTAGGTGGTGATACAAGTTTTTGGTTTAAATAAACATCAAGTTGACTAAAAAGTGAATGCAGCCAATTATTTACAGGTGCTACTATTGTAGTAGATACCAAGTTAGTTGAATCTTGATTTAATACTTTTGCCTTTATGTGGAGTAATGTATGAGACAAATCTATGTAGTCATCGCCGGTCCCAGGAACTTGAAACTCGATAGGTCCATCATCACCAAGAGATGAAATTGGTTTATAATGAATCCACAATCCATTTTCAATGCTAGTTTGTGTAGACGGTAGTGCAAACAAATCCAATTCTGACTTAACGCACCCACAAGAATGATTATGAAGGAAAGACATATTTAGTTTGAAAATATATCTTTGATATTTTTTGGTTTTAGACTAAGTTTTTTCGCAGCTTTCACTTTAGCAGTTAATGGTGGAATGAACGATGTCAATCGTTTTCTTTTAGTTTTATACCCAGATCCAGTCATGTTAAATTGATCAATTTTCTCATCAGCCTTTCGTTTTAAATTCGTACTAACTTGCTTTAGACGATCTTTTATTGAGGCTTCCATAGGACGGGCTTGAACCATATCCGATAAAAGTCCTACTCCAGCGCTTAATGCCTCCTTACCAATCACTCGAGCACCACTTGAAAGTAAAGGTAAAACTGATCTGAATAACCCCCCTAAGAAGCTCCCAATACCATGACCGCGTTGATATGGTGAACCCTTATAAATTACTCCAACTCCTGATCCAGCTTGATGTGTATAATAATTTTCATATGGACATTTATGATGATCACGAAGAGAATTCATTATTATAATTTTCGGAAATGTAGTTTAATACACACGGTTCCAAACTGGAATGGTATTTTTTGTCCTGTACTCGATCTTATAACTATTTCCAACGTATCGAACTCTCTTCGCATAACAGGTAAGTAGTGAGGTTGAGAGAAAACGTGCATTTTATTTGCACCATAAATGTATTTTGTAGGATCTAATGAAATGACTCTTAATAAAGGAGTCATAACATCACCCACAATCTGAGGATCGATAATGTCGCAATATAGAAATAGTTATTAGAATAGTCTGGACTATTGAACCAGATTAGGAGTACCCTTAACCGACGAGCGTGTATGCGTAATATATGGATGTAAAGGAGGCGAGAGAGGTGTGTCAGGATCGCGCCAAATGGAAGTCCGTAGTCTCTGCCTACCCCTCTGGGTGACAGGCGTGAGTGTTTGTGTGTTGTGTGATGAAGCCATATAGGTGCTTACTGTCGCCTTTTACGACATCCACAGGATATTATAAGGTGCTGAATTCTCTTATTCCACCACGCCACGGCAACATAGCCGCAGTTTTTGTTTAATAATTCGTGTGAGTGTCCTAACGGAAATTTTAATTTAATGCGATAATATTCTTTTGTTTCCGAAGGCTTCGTCTAAATAGCCCGTTAGGTCTTACCAGCATGAAGTTACCCCCGATCTTTAACACTGCATGGCCGCGGTTTGAAATCCCCTACGAAAGAAATATTTGCATGGACCATACTACAAATAATTCTTCCAAGTGTGGAGGTTGGTTCATGTGCATTTTTTTATAGAATAAGGGATACAAACGAGCACACAATCCACCTGATGGTAAGTGTTTACTGTGGCCCATAGACATCTACATCTATCTTCGATTACGAATCAAAATGCAGATGCGTTGTCACCCGTGAGTACTAAGGTGGAATGTCTTGTTCCAGTAAAAAAGGGTCTCCGGTTCTCTACACTCACCTTACGAAACACAGGAGCGTTATGCTGCTATTTTACGCTGGTATTCCGTGAGAGCGTGGTCCTTCCGCGGTTGAGCCGACCCATTCGTGCTACAACTATACCTACTACTAATATAGCTGCAACATGGCTCTACCACGTAAAAAAATATTTTATGTCTCCACGTTTTACATACATATTTATTGCCGTCAATAAAATACAACGTTTTGAAAATAGCTTTTTTATTACATATTTACACAATCTCAGTTATATACATGTAAGTCTTTTAACATAAAGTAGCATGTTTTATTTAACAATTATAAATAAAAAGGACACGTTTAATAAAACTAATTTTGTGGCAGGTGACTGTTTTTCAGCTAGTTTTTTTCGCCGACGAGTGCGGCTGTGTCTTTATCGAGTTCCACGCCACGTACGAATGCCGAGATAAGGCCAAGTGCTTCTGCTGGCTTGTCACTTGGCACCATATGGCCCGCACCGCGGATCATAACTTCAGTTAAATTACCAGCCCTTTTGTAATATCTAAAAGAAATGATAAATAATCCGTTAGCTTTACTCTGTCTTTGAAGAATTTAAAATCACATTTAGTGTGTACCTAAATATTAGCATATTATAAGTATAATCGATTACTTTTTGCCTGGTAATTTGTAAAAACAGAACGTTTAAATCCGAAATAGAACAAATATCTTTAACTACCAGCAACTAATATTTATTCTGTGCTATAAGGTAGGGCTGCCGCTGTTATAACGCCGATCGAGAGTCGAGACTTTATAAATAGTCCTCTAGTCTTTTGAATATGTATCTATCGTTTGTCGTTTTAATATGATAGTTCTTTAGATATATTTTTAGGTCTTAGGTTTATAATTTTTAATTTATGGTACCTAGATTTATTAAAGCTGAAATTAATACGATATAAGAAGTATACGATACTATTTATATTTTTACAGTCTTTAAAGGTGTATAGTTTAAATCGCGTTTAGAATTTATTAGTACAATTCAAGTACCGGGACAACTGACAACTAACCGGGCTACAGACGCGACTTTCAAACCGGGACATGTCCCAGTATACTAAGACGTATGGCAGCCCTAACATAAGTGGTCTGATTATGACAGCAGTTGATGATTTTTAACGCTACACTGTACTAATGTCACAACAAAAATAAGTTAAATTTCAATTTTTATTAACTCGGACGGAGATCGTCATTATCATTACAGTAACTACTGAATATAGCCCTACTCCAAGGAATTCCATAAAACACGGTCCTAAGGAAACTGCAACCATCGACTTCCTGGATCTCTTACCAGGTCACTCCATCTAGTAGGGGACCGCCCTACACTTCGCTTATGTATATGGCTACTGCTCTAGAAGCTTATTTCTCTTTGGTTTTCGGTTCTTCCAGCTATATGGTCGACCTATTGCCACACCACCTTACTGATCCGTTGGGATACGTCAGTTACTCTGAATTTGATGCGTAGGTATATCATCTTTTATCTTCGAGTTAGATTCTATCACGCAGAGACGCATCCGTATTCCATACGACATTACTTACAACATGCACTGGTTACGCACTCTTGTTGTATGTTTTGAAGGGATATTTTTTTATATAACTTTCTAACTCTTACTGCCTAAAACCATTACGAATTAAAGAATAACTTACCCGGCAACTTTGCCGTCGTGGTACCAGGGCAATCTCTTAGTCATTTTAAAGTCAGAAGATCCGGTGAACGAGAGCGCATTATACGTGTTTACTGACGGATGGTACGCTACGATGATATCCAAGTGACCGCTGGAATTGGAAGAAAAAAAATTAAGGTTAAGGCAAAACCTACATATGAAACCGTTACAGCCTAATGATTAGGCCTTTTTTTATAGGATAGGGTGACAAACGAGCACACAATCCACCTGATGGTAAGTGGTTACTGTGACCCATAGACATCTACATCTATCATCAATAAAGACTCAAGATGCAGATACGTTGTCACCCGTGAGGACTAAGATAACTATGAGAAAGAGGAAGAGGCCTATGTAGGCCTTGCTACATATCTATTTATCTATGATGTAGGCGTATGTACAGAAGCAGACTGCGATCGTGGCAGTCTCTGGCAGTGTAAGAATATCCACTACCCTATTATCATCCCATAGGTGTTATTAGAGGCGACAGAGCAATCCTAATAACAACCTAAATAATAAAATTTTGCAATTTTGCCCATGAGGCAAACTGTAGCGGAAGCCTATGTTCAGCAGTGGACTTTAATAAGCTGTAATGGATAATGCATTATAATACACAATAGGTAACTAAGTTCGCCAACGCGCATTGGGGCAACGCGGCGGACGTTTTCTTGACCTAAAAGCCAAAGTAATGAGAGGACGCCTGTGCCCAGCAATATATAAGGGAAGTATATAGGATGTAAATTTAACTTTAAGGTACGAATATTGTTTTTTGTTTTAAAAAAACGTTACCCCAACACTAGGATTTTCTCCTGTGTCGTGGGGGCAGTTTACAAACATAAATTGCACGAGGACAAACATCCAGACCCGGAACAATTATTTGTAGGCCATACAAACACTTGTTCCGTGCGGGATTCGCACCCGCGGCCCCCAGCGCCACAACTCATTGCTAAGCCACTGCGCCACGGAGCCGTCCAAATAATTATAAATAAGTATTAAATATTATTTCATTTAATAAGTAAAATTTACGCTTAACTTACTTGTAAATCATAACTCGATAATTTTCCAATAGTTCCTCGAGCCAATGCTTTGCGCTGCCCATAAAATCTGGCACCAGCTTCCTGTATACCACTCCAATAGACGAAAAGTTGGTGTTACCAACGTGCAGCGCTCTTCGAACTTCGCCCCGCTGGATGAAGTCCACATAGCTCCCCTCAAGTTTTATATCATCTTGTAAATAGTTGTATAAGTTGCTAAGACGCGATTCCGAAATGAACAGTTGAAGGAGATAGTTGAAATACTGCAAAAGGAAAAATTATGATAAAAATATTTCGGTACTTAAGTACATATTTCATTTTCAAGTTTACAAGAGCCGTGGTAGCTCAGGGGCTAGGTGCTCGCTGTAAATTTCATAGTACGCGAGCCACCCGGGTTCGATCCTCGCCGGCACCAATGAAACTGTTAATTGCAATTTTAAGTGCTGATTTCTCACGTGCTCAGCGGCGAAGAAAACATCGTGAGGAAACCTGCTTGTCTGAGAGTTTTAAAAATATTTTGAAGACATGTTAAGTTTAATACGCATTGGGGTGGCGCGGCATACATTAAAACCCTCTCAGAAATGGGAGGAGACAATGGGAGGAGGGAGGAATGGTAAAATTTTATTACTACGTGACTTTGTGTCACCTACATACACTTTATTAAAATTTGTAAATATTAATATAATTTTTTGCGATTACTTCAATTAGTAAAAAGATAGATTTTTAAATCGATTCGAATCGTAGGCTGTATCGATTCATAAAAAATCGATTTCTAAATATCTATATTTCTTATGTTTGCATTTATAATGTAAATATAAATCCATCCACGCCTTCGCAGCTTCGGCTTGTTGGTCGCCTTCGGCGACCAGCCTCAGCCGCTGCGGCTCGTCCGATGCCTACGATTTGTTACGCAAACGCGTAGAGGCTGCTCTTCCCGCAGCGCCGGAGACGTAGCTGTCTTAAAATAGATACAGAAATCCTTCTGAATCAGTCCTCCTATTTTTTTATGATGAATGGGATTTCCTCGCCTTCGCAGCTTCGGCTTGTTGGTCGTCTTCGGCGACCAGCCTCAGCCGCTACGGCTCGTCCGATGCCTGCGATTTGTTACGCAAAGGCGTAGAGGCTGCTCTTCCACAGCGCCGGAGACGTAGCAGTCTCAAAATAGATACAGAAGTCCTCCTCCCCCTATTTTTTTATGGTGAAGGGGATTTTTTTCTCATAAAATGGATTTATATTTACATTATAAATGCAAACATAAGAAATATAGATATTTAGAAATCGTTTTTTTGTGAATCGATACATCAGCTAACGATTCGAATCGATTTAAAAAAATCGAACATTTTCGGAAAGAATCGATATCCCTACTGACGACAATACAAAATAGCGTCAGATTTATGGTAGTAATTGACATAAATATTGCAAAAATAGTTGATTTTCAATATTTTTTTTCTCAAAAAGTACGTGTCTCCGAATGTTGAAACTTTGCGTGTGCGCTTATAATAATGTAAGATTTCGGTGAAAAAAATATCAACCTCCAACTCGACGGATGTCAATGGGAATTGGCATAAATATTGCATAAATAATTGATTTTCAATAATTTTTTTCTCCGCAAAAGTACGCATTTCCGCATATTGAAAGTTTACGTGTGTGCTTATAATAATGTAACCCTTCTGTAAAAAAAAATATCAACCCCCCAACACGACGGACGTCAATGGAAAGTCGAAAGTAATGATTGACTCGTTATGACCAAGGCTAATATGGAATTAGTTGTTTTAAAAAAAATCAGCGAAGCCTAAATTTTTATTGATATTCCTGCTATGTTGCCTGCTAATTGTTGTGGTGGTCTCCACTTTATTAGGGGAGGGGGGGGGGGGCAATCCTAATATTTTTCTTTTTTATAGAATAATGGAGACAAACGAGCATGCAGATCACCTGAAGGCAAGTGAATGGTGGGGACCATAGATTAATTATTCCTCAATTAAGAATCAAAATGCAGATACATAGTCCTCTTGAGGGACTAAGATGGAACACCTCGTTTCTATTAAAAATGATCTCCGGTTATCTACACACACCATACGAAACACAGCTGCATTAAGGTATTATTTTACGCAGGTATTCTGTAAAAGCGTGCTTTTCCCTTTGGAATCAATCCATTCTTGCTATAAAGATAACTGCTACAGTACGAGGGCGACTAAGAAACTTTTTAGAACTGGCCACTTGTAAACGATAAAATAAGAAAATAAGTTACAATTTTGAAAATGAAACTCTTTGCCAATATTATTGTGTATGTATTTTATTAATTTGTCATTTGTTTACGAATTGGCGGCAAATTGAATACTGTCTGTGTCGCGTCGACATGAATTTAACGCGAGAAAATTTCGTATTTGATGTCATTTAAGTCAACAAGAAAGTTATGATAGACTTCGATTGTCCATTCACGATGAAGCCCCATCTCGTGCCACTGTTTACAACTAGTTTAATGAGTTTAAACGTGGGCGCACTAATCGTACCGATGATCTGCGTGAGGGACGGCCTTCTACGGCGACGACTGAAGATAACATCAGTGTTGTGCGGCGTATGATAGAGACGACAAAAGAGTGACTTATCAGAAGATTCGGACAAGCTTAGGCATCGGTATAAGTCAAGTGCACAAAATCCTCCATGAACATTTAGCGGTCAGGAAGCTTTGTACCCGGTGGATACCTCATAATTTGACAGAGGCCCAAAAACTCCGTCGTGTTGATTGGTGTCGTGAAATGGTTCAAAGATTTAACGGAGGTGATTCAAATGCTGTGTTCGACATAGTTACGGGTGACGAAAGCTGAATTTATTATTATGATTCTGAATCTAAGAGACAGTCTGCTGTCTGTGTGTTTCCTTCCGAGGAGTTGCCAACTAAAGTGAAGAGAGGTCGAAGCGTGGGAAAAAAGGGTGGCCTCGTTCTTCGGAAAGAAGGTCACTACGCAACAATTGTTTTAGAGGATCGAAAAACAGTTACTGCAGATTGGTACACTAACAAATGTTTGCCACTTGTCTTGGAAAAAGTTCGGGAGAAAGGACCGCGCAGTAGAATCCTCCTTCACCACGACAACGCCTCGTCACACACCGCCAAGCAAACACTCGACTATGTGGTGACGTCAGACGTGGAATTACTGGGTCACCCGCTCTATAGGCTCGACCTCGCACCTTGCGATTTTTATTTATTTCCGAAAATGAAGTAGTGGCTGCGTTTCAAAATGCCGTCGAAGAGACCCTTAAGGACGAGTGGGCAAAGTGCTTTTCTCAGTGGTTCCATCGGATGCAGCGATGTATTGATGTAAATGGCAAAATGACACTATTTTGAAAAGATATAATAAAACTAATAACTTGATAGTTTGTTCAGTTTTTGATTTTCTAAGAACTTTTAATGTCACCCTCGTATGTCTCTACCACGTAATAGGAGTGAGACACGAATGATGATACATATTTAAACCAATATTAAACGAATGTTGGTATATCGTGTACTTACCGCGTAAGCCTTAAGCATCTCGCCATTGTTGATGAACTGCATGACGGCAGTTTCGAGGTGGTTCATCGCATCCGCCACTTTGTCATCGAGAAGTCCCACTTCCCGGGCGAAGTAACTGTATCGTTGTAACGTTAGCGGGTCGATGAATCCATTGCCGATTGCTAGACACTGGCAGATACATTATTTGTAACTAAATAGTTCTTTGAAATTTATAACTGAACGCTTAGCCTTTAATCTATCACACCTCTGAAATAAGAGGGGGAGTATGCACTGCTGTGAGATGTATATAGACTGGAACTTAATTTTACTGTATTTATTTATAAGTTATAGCCTGTCCAAGGTGCATTGCTAAACAAAGGCCACCAGGAGGCAATCTATGAAGGAGGTTTCATGTTTGTTATAGGTGCCACGCTTGGCAGGCGGGTTGGTAACCGAAGTTTTTATTTTTAATTTTGAGTTGTTTTCAGGAATATGCTGCTGCCCATCCCCTTTTTTTCCTCCTTTGCGTAAGCTAAGTCGTTAGTCTCTAAGTCACTTGAAAGCAAAAACAGGTTTGATACCAGAGTTCTTCCTTGTTGGTAGCCGGTTATCCACCTATGAACTTATATCAATTAATTCAAAATTCGAAATTTTTTACAACCGACTTCAATATAAATTATTAAGAATAACTCAAAAACTATTGGTCAGACCTTGATCAAATTGTAAATGTATGGGACCACATGTTAAGCACCAGCTTTCAAATAAAAAAGGATCATCGAAATCGGTTCACCCAGTAAAAACTTCACACATAAAAAAAAACATACAGTCGAATTGAGTACCGGTTCCTTTTTGAAGTTGGTAGATTAACACATAAATATAATTTTAAAATCAAGCACAGAGATCGGTGAAATTACAAAGCTGGAGCAATATTAGCAGCGCACTTTGTATTGCGGATATGATTTTAAAAACAACATTTAGTATGTATTCGTATATAGCATGAAGAAAATGGTCAAATATTTGTCTCTATTTCTGTCTCACCTGGAGATTAATTGGTTCATCCTCCTCACGATGCCAATGTATTTGTATCGCTAATGAGGGAATGTGTTTCCCGGCGTAAGACTCTCCCGCCAAAGTCAGAGGCGCTTTCCGTAGCTCGGGGAATAATGTCAGAAACTGTTGTAGTGCTGTGTAAAGGTTTTCACCGATCTGCAACAAAATCATTTAAAATTAAAAGTTTTGTACAACCGACTTAAATATATATTATTAAGGATAACTCAAAAACTACTGGTCAGACCTTGAGCAAATTTATATGGGACCACAAGATAAGCACCAGCTTTCAAATAAAAAAATCATCGAATTCGGTTTACGTACAAAAAAGTTATGAGGTAACACACATAAAAAACATACAGTCGAACTAAGTATCTCCTCCATTTTGAAGTCGGTAGATAATAGTAAATACAGTAATAAGCAATATTATTATTGAAATTTCACTCTTATAATAGTTCAATGAGAAAATTGAATTAAATTCGCTATGTATGTAGTGCCGACGTACGAGATTCTACTTTCCCATTATCATGTTGGTGTCGAAAAAGGCAATAGAGGAAAATAAAACAGGAGATGGGCAGCAAAACCTTCCTGCAGTTGCAGAAAAGTTGAAGTTGCCAACCCGACCGCCATGCATGGCAACTATGGCATATACCCCAAATAGGGCAATCTATAGGGGAGACTAATTTTCAGCAGTGGACTTTTAATAGGCTGTAATAAACGAATGAATGAATTGAACGCGGCTTTTCTCGCATGATCTTATACGCACAGTCTACCTGATGGTAAGTGGTTGCTGCGGCCCATAGAATTCAAAATCAGGATAGATTAAAAATCATAATGCAAATGCTTTGCCACCCCTGAGGACTAAGATGGAATGCCTCGTTTCCAGTAAAAAAGGTCTCCGGTTTTCTACACTCACTATACGAAACACAGCAACATTAAGCTGCTATTTTACGCTGCTATTTTACGCTGGTATTTGAGAGCGTGGTCCTTCCGCGATCGAGGCGACCCATTTGAGCTACAACCATAATATAGCTGCATCACGCTTAGTGTTGTGATAAAAAGATACCTTATGAAGTAACTCTCTGCCAAATACGAGTATCAATAATTATAAATATATTTTTAACAGTGGTAGAGCCACGCGGCAGCTTTTGCTGTCGCACGGATGAGCCGGCTCGAACCGGGGTGGTACCACGACCTCACAGAAAACCAGCATGAAGTAGAGGTTTACCTCTGCGTTTCGCTTGGTGAGTGCAGGTGGCCGGAGGCCCTTTTTACTGGAAATGAGGCATTCCATCTTAGTCCTCACGGGTGACAACGCATCTACATTTTGATTTGTAATAGAGGATAAATGTAGATGTCTATGGGCCGCAGCAACCACTTACCATCAGGTGGACTGTGTGCTCGTTTGTCACCCTTATCCTACAAAAAAAATCAAATAAATCCGTCCATTTAGACAAAATGGCAAGTAAACGCAGGCAACGGTAGAACAAAACCAAAAACCAAAGTCCAAAATGACTTTTGCTAGTAGGTACCCATTAAATTAAAAAAGAACTTACCGTGGTCTGGTTCGTAGCGTAGCCACGGTCGTCATCCGTGAAGCTGAAACCCGTACCAACAGGATTGTCGATAAACAGCAGTGAATGGTTTTTGCCCCATGAGTATTTCATCTCTATAACAGTAAAAAATGTTTCATCAAGTGACAATTATTACAGTTATTTTAATCTGAACTGCGAAGCGATAAATACTACACGAGTGTGTGCGTAAGTACAGGTGCAGACTATTCCCTCATTTTATTTATAGGATAGGCTGACAAACGAGCACACAGTCCACCTGATGGTAAGTGGTTGGTGGCCCATAGACATCTACATCTATCCTCGTTTGCGAATCAAAATGCAGATGCGTCGTCACCCGTGAGGACTAACATGGAATGCCTCTTTTACAGTAAAAAGGGTCTCCGGTTCTCTACACTCACCATACGAAAAACAGCAGTGTTTATTTTTTTTTAAGTTATTTTACGGTGGTATTCTGTGAGAGCATGGTCCTTCCCCGGTCGAGGCGAACCATTCGTGCTACAACTATACTACTAATATAGCTGCAGCATGGCTCTACCACGTAAAGAATTCTCTAATCATTCTTGTAGTCCAATGGGTTGGCATCTGCAATCAGACACGATCGGATAGAGTTCAATTTAGTTATTGGATTTTTCTGTCAAGAAATTCTCAGTAGCAGTGCGAAGTCATGAAGTTGCAGGTGTTTGTCGTAGGTCCTGCACCTAATCTTTCTCTGGTCGTGATGTACTCGTATTGTAGTTTCATTAGACTACGAGAGTGAGGGAATAGCGACCGCGCCTATGCTTGCACACACTCGTGCATTATAATCCTATCCTGCTCAGATGGCTTGTCTTCGTTTAGTCTGGTCCACGGCTGGATATTATTAGTGTTGGCAGGGATCGAGCTACTCTCGTACTATAAATTTAAGGCGTGGTTTTAAGACATGCAATATCATAATAAGCTAGTTACAGTATGCGACTCGTAGAAACAGATCACCGCTTTGGCATTTGTTTTAACAGGATTTCTCATGCGTGCTTTAAGGTTTTGTCCCTTTTTCTGTCAAAATCGATTAGATCATTACAGCCCTTCACAAGTCCACTGCTGAACATAGGCCTCCCCCAAAGAATGCCACAAAACACGGTCCTGAGCCACCTGTATCCATCGACTTCCTGCATATCTTACCAGGTCGTCACTCCATCTAGTGGGGGGACGCCCTACACTTCGCCTGCCGGTACGAGGCTGCCACTCGAGAACCTTTCTTCCCCATCGGTTGTCGGTTCTTCGAGCTATATGGCCGGCCCATTGCCACTTCAGCTTACTAATCCGTTGGGCTATGTCAGTCACTCTAGTTCTACTGCGGATATCCTCATTTCTGAGTTTATCACGCAGAGAAACTCCGAGCATAGCCCTCTCCATAGCTCGCTGAGCGACCTTGAGCTTCCTCATCCGGCCAGCAGTAAAGGACCAAGTCTCAGTTCCGTATGTCATCACTGGCAACACGCACTGGGTGTACAGTCTCGTTTTCAAGTTTTGAGGTATACCTGACGAGAAGATGTGCCGTAATTTCCCGAACGCTGCCCAACCGAGTTGAATCCGTCGATTGATCTCTCGGTCGAAGTTGGACTTACCTAGTCGGACTATTTGTCCCAGGTAAACATACTCGTCAACAACTTCGAGCTTAGTGTTCCCAACAACTACCGGCATAGGTGTGACATGGACATTAAACATGATCTTTGTTTTGTCCATGTTCATCTTAAGACCTATCCGTTGGGAAACACTATTGAGGTCATTGAGCATAGTGCTTAGGTCTTCCAGCGATTCTGCCATAAGGATTATATCGTCGGCAAATCGAAGGTGAGTGATGTACTCGCCATTGATGTTGATACCGTATCCTTTCCAGTCCAGAAGCTTGAAAACATCTTCCAATGCAGCGGTAAAGAGTTTCGGGGATATGACGTCACCCTGTCTTACACCTCTCTGCAATTGGATAGGTTTTGTACTCTGGTTCTGTACTCGGATAGCCATCGTAGCCCTACTGTACAAGCACTTCAACACTTCGATATACCGACAGTCAACTTGGCATCGCTGAAGGGACTGCAGCACCGCCCAAATTTCGACGGAATCAAAGGCTTTCTCATAGTCCACATACGCCAGACATAGTGGCAAATTGTACTCCTCAGACTTCTGTACAATTTGCCGAAGGGTATGTATGTGGTCTATGGTGCTAAAGCCTTTTCGGAAACCGGCTTGTTCGGGAGGCTGGAAGTCGTCAAGTGTGCGCGCGAGACGATTCGTAATGACTCTCGAAAACAACACGTAGACGCGGCTCAGAAGGGAAATCGGTCTGTAGTTCTTCAAGAGAGCGTCGTCGCCTTTCTTGAAGAACAAGACCACCGCACTTCTGCTCCACGCCTCCGGTGTAATGCTACCATGGAGGACGGAATTAAAGAGCTTCTGAAGGACTTCAAGTACCGGTTTTCCACCCGCTTTCAGAAGCTCCGCTGTAATTCCATCCTCGCCTGGAGCCTTGCCGTTTTTAAGGTGCTGGAGAGCCATTCTAATCTCGCTCATACTGACGTCCGGGATATCATCGGAATAATGTCGGATAAGACTCGCTCTTGGATCGTTACTCATACTTGCGTGCGGCTCCAACGATGACGTGTACAGCTGCCCATAGAACCTCTCAATCTCACTCAAAATCTCAGGTGCCCCGGAAACGATGCTGCCACATTCTGTCTTCAGCTTTGACAGTTGGCGATCACTGAGACATCACTGAACAGTTGTCGTCTGGTCGTCATAATGAAGTCAATCTCATTTTTTGTCGAACCGTCGGGGCTCGACCAGGTCCACTTCCTGTGGGGCCGCTTCTGGAAGAAAGAGTTCATCATAAAGAGTCCCTCTTTCTCCATGAAGTCAGCCAACTGCTGGCCCCTTGGGTTCCGTTGCCCTATTCCAAATTTCCCTACTTTCAGCTCACCGTTCTCTCTTGTGCCTAGTTTTGCATTGAAGTCTCCCATTAACACCGTATATTGGGTTTTGGAGGAATGCATGGCTCTAGAGATATCCTCATACATTTCCTCCACCTCCTGATCGGGGTGTGCCGAGGTTGGTACGTAAACCTGTATGACCTTCAGCGAATACCGTTTGGTGATTCTGAGTATAAGGTACGCAACCCTCGTCGACACACTCTCAATCTTTACAACATTGTTAACGAGAGACTTGTGGACGATAAATCCGACACCTCCTTGGGACAGATGGTCGCCCTCCCGGTAATAGAGCAAGTTGCCGGATTCGAGGATTACCGTGTCCTCGCCCTCTCTTCAGACTTCGGTTAATCCTATAATATGCCAACGTAACTTGTCTATCTCTTCTTCCAGCTCCACAATCTTCTCGTCAGTCGTCAGGGTGCGTGCGTTGTATGTTGCCAGGTCGAGTCGTCGTAGGTGGCAACCGAACCTCCACCGGAGATTCTTAGCACCCCCTGCCCCGCCGTTACCATGGTCGCCACCGTAGCCAGGAATAGCGGGGCCGCCGGGAACTGGGGGCCGTTTATTATTGTCATTGCTCATGGGGGGTATATTGCCATAGTTGCCACGCTTGGCGAGCGGGTTGGCAACCGCAGTTTTTTTATTGTTATTTTGGCTATTATCAGGAAGATGCTGCTGCCCATCTCCTGCCTGTTTCCCTTTGTCGCCTTTTACGACACCCACGGGAAGATATGGGGTAGTGGATATTCTTAACCGCCACTACACGGTTAGATATTTATGCATAATTGAGTTACAAACAACCAAACATCTTAACAAACTTTCACATATAATATTTTAGTAGATACTGCAAACACCGAAATACAAGTAACAAGAAAAAAAATCTCGTATATATTACGGTTCTATCGACGGCTATTAGGTAGATCTTTCAGACATTTCATATAGTAGCCTCTTACTCTTACCACTCATGTAACAAAACGTGATGACGGATTCTCTAACGTGACTACCAAGCGGCACAGGGCAGCAGAAATTATAATGTCATAAAATAGTTGTTTTACCTTCCAAGTTGTTATTTTCGGTGACGTAGAAAGGTCCTATTTCACTAAACAGACCAAACAGCGAAGATGCGCCTGGTCCTCCTTGCAGCCAGATTATCCAAGGTGTCTCTTCGACTGGCTTGTCAGCTACTGGGAAGTACCAGAACCAAAGGTTCGAGTTATACTCCTTATTTACCTGTGGATGTTATTATAATAATTAAGTTTATAATCAACTTGTGTCTTCTTTAGTGGCGATTATATTCTTCAGAAAATTTCGAAAACGGCAACAAGACGGCGAAGAGGCACTCTCTACTTGTTACCGTTTCTTGCTCTATGTAACGCTTTTACAATTACGGCACAAATGTTGCCTACGTTTCACATTGAATCCCAGGTTCTGCGACATAGTGAACAGGTACTTTGACCACATTAGTAAAGAAACCGTACCGTCTCTACTCATGGACTTTGACTCACATGGCAAGCAGTCATCGGAATACTTGTTGTAAGGAAACTTATGATATCCACGGCTAACTATTACTTATTGTAAAAAGAAATCTGAAACTCGATAACCGATGCGTAAGAAAGGTACTCGAGTGAAAGCCTCATACCGGTAAAGTGTAGAGTGGCCTATTAAATGGAGTGACGACATAGTAAGAAATGGAAGAAGTCGATGAATACTGGTGGCTTAGAACCGGGCATTTCTTGGGGGAGGTCTATGTCACAGATAAGCTACTACGTAACCTATTTTTAGCGTAAAGTAAAGTGGTGTAGTGAAAAAGTAAAGTGAAAAATTTTAGGTTGTGAGTACGACAATGAGGGCTAATAATTGTCTGCTCACCAGATGTCGCTAGTTGACACTGAGGTAAAGTTTTTTGTTACACAAAGTAATTTAATTGAGAAGTTGGTTTATAATAAAAGTTTATCAGTTTCTAGAGTATTATATTAATACACAAAACAATGCGTCAGTGGTTTGCTCTTTAATTTTTTGCACATTTTTAACTTTTTTTTTAATTTTTCTATTTTTATGAATATCTGTGGTTTGGTTTATTTATTTTTAATCTTATTAATATAAAATATAGCTAATAGTACATAAAGAGACAACATTTTATATATAATCAGAACAAATTAACTTCCCCGCTATGAAATCTGTCAAATATTATACCTCACTTTCTAGTGGCGCCGCCCTGGTGGCAGAAAAAGTCGTGGATGCCCCTCATTAAATTAATCCATTTAAATTACATATTTTTTGACATTAAATATGAATTAAATTATAATTTTTTTATACAAGTAAGGGTGATAGGATTTTGTTGATTCAGCTTCAATTCGATATATATGGATAAATTTTTCATTGTACTTTTTTAAATATTTAGGTGTTTATTGCCTTGTTTGGCCTTTTTTATTAGATACTAATATTTTTGGTATAGTTCTACAACACAATAAGAAATATAAAGCTCTTCTTTCAAGCAGAAAAAATATTTTACTGTATACTATAGACTTATAGAGTCCCCGAATGAACTGTATTGAATAATTCTACAATAGTACGTAGTGGGAAAAAGTACGCAGAGACGTTTTATCCAAAAAGGGTGAGTGGTTGAGGACACCTATTCATTGGAAGTGGGTACGTGTGGGCCGTTATTTTGTGTCAACAACTGTTGGTCGGTGCGAATCAATTCAAGTGAGCTACGTACAAAAAATATAAATACCTAGTAGTTAAAAGAAAAGTTTATCAGAGTGTAGTCTATGTATTCTCAGAAGTAACTTCTTTTTATTCGTTTTGTGCAGTTATTCACCTACTTTTTCTCAAACATCATTATGCCCTATCCTTAATCAAATTTGACTCAGAAGGAATTGTTTTGATCACTGGCTAAATGGGGTAAAAGGATGGAGAAATAATTCGCACGCGTACTATTTCTTCCGTCCGAGGCGAATATGCTATCCGATTACGTAGATAGCCATTCTTATATCGCGATAGTTACTGTGCAGTAAATAGTCCAGTCAAATAAGGTCTGAAATCAAAATTTTGGCACTCAACTTTGCATTTTTGATTTGATACAATGTTTAAAGGTTTTCGTGTTCGCAACCCCCGGCAAGGGTTGAAAAAAATTGTCAAAAGTGTTTTTTCGCAATTACTCGTAAACGGTAAAAATTAGACAAAAAGTTCTAATAAAAATGAGTAGAGCTTAAAATTTTATATATCTTTATAGTATAGGGTGACAAATGAGCAAACCATCCATCTGATGGTAAGTGGTTTCTGTGACCCATAGACAACTACATCTATCCTCAATAAAGAATCGAAATGCAGATGCGTTGTCAACCGTGAGGACTAAGATGTAATGCCTCTTTTCCAGTGAAAAGGGTCTCCGGTTCTCTACACTCACCATACGAAAGACAGCAGTGTTAAGCTGCTATTTTATGCTGGTATTCTGTGAGACCGTGGTCCTTCCTTGGTCGAACCAACCCATTCGTGCTACAACTATACCACCACCATAGCTGCAGCATGGCTCTACCACGAATAAAAAAGGTTTTATGATTTTTTTTCCTCACATCAAAATTAACCGAGTTAGGAAGGTTTTAAATTTAAGGTATGGACGTAAATTTAAAAAAAATCGTAGGTAGTAGAAAAACACACGATTTTATTTAAATTTGCTTCAAAAAATAATATTAAAAACCGAATTATATTTTCAAGTTGGATTATTTAAATACCAATGTCTTTTAAGTTATATCTTTTTATTATAAATTCTGCCCAATTATTAATAATTCAGAAACAAAACTGGTTCTTGCACAGTTCGAGGACTAAAATTAATGATTTCTTCATTTACCGTCCGTATCGTACGCGTTTGATGCAATTACTACATAATTAATTACTCCGTATTCCATTCTATAGATCTGTAGATATGTACCATGGTTGTCATAATCTGAACAATCATCACTGATATCTTTATTCGTTTTCTGTTTTATTCGATGTTACGATGTTACTAGAGTTCCGTAGTTACACAACAAGAAACCCTTATTGTTTCGCTATGTCCGTCCGTCCGTCCTCGGTTTTGCTCACAGACCCTACGTGCTACAAATCTGTAATTACTAATTAGGCATAATTATAGATATTAACCACGCCTAGAAAACAGTGATATAAAATTTTAATAATATTTTTTTTCCCATACAAGTAAATGAAGGATGATTTTTTTTTGACCCGTCTATTCCATCATGTGAGGTATCGTTGGATAGGTATTTCAAAAACACTGGGGGTGTGAAACAAGATCTTTTTGATTCAGGGGTCCGTTTGCGGAATATTTAGCTTAAAATTGGTATTTTTCATTAGTCACGTGTTCCCCCCCCCCCCCCCCCCCCCACCTCTACCAACTAAACCTCTGTTTTTGAAAATGTATACAAGTTAGTAGTATATTATATAATGAAGTTAAAAGGAAAACTATCACAGCTAAGTAGAATTTAGAGGTTAACGAGTAATAGTCGACCAACTGCACTTGGATTTTCGTTACAAATCCATAAAAAATAACCTAAAACTAAAACTTGCTGCATTATAACTTTGTAATGATATTGTAAACTTAAAAATAAACATTTTATGAAGAAAACGACTTATTACTACTATAGCTTTACTTTTTCATTTGCGGCATAGGCTGGGAGGATCTTTATATTTACTTACATTCACTTATTTTTTAGTATGGAGTTATTGTAGGTAGGCCGTATTCAAAGTATTCATACAATCATATAACCTTATTAGTTTCATTCGTCACACTCTTGGTTTACGCGGACGACCTCAGGATAATTTAGGGCAGTGGTTGTTTACGTAAAGGTTCGTTACGGTCATATATACGAGGGTGACACTGAAAGTTCTTAAAAAATTAAAAACTGAACAAACTAGTAAGTTATTAGTTTTGTTATGTATTTTCAAAATAGTGTCCATTTACATCAATACATCGGGCTACTATAGGACGGGTGACACAATAATTCCACATCTGATGTCGCCAAGTAGTCGATTGTTTGCTTGGCGGTGTGCGACGAGGCGTTGTCGATCCTACTGCGAGGTCGTTTCTCCTGAACTTTTTTTAAGACAAGTGGCAAACAATTGTTAGTGTACCACTCTGCAGTAACTGTTTTTCGATCCTCTAAAACAATTGTTGCGTAATGACCTGTCCTTCCGAAGAACAAGGCCAGCAACTTTTTTCCCACGCCTCGACCTCTCTTCACTTTAGTTGGCAACTCCTCGGAAGGAAACTGTCTCCTAGTTTCAGGGTCATAACAATAAATCCAGCTTTCGTCACCCGTATGTCGAACACAGCATTTGAGTCACCTCCGTTAAATCTTTGAACCATTTCACGACACCAATCAACACGACAGAGTTTTTGGGCCTCTGTCAAATATGAGGTATCCACCGCGCACAAAGCTTTCTGACCGCTAAATGTTCATGGAGGATTTCGTGCACTTGACTCATACCGATGCCTAAGCTTGTCCGAATCTGCTGATAAGTCACTTTTTTGTCAGTCTCTATCATTCACCGCACAACACTGATGTTATCTTCAGTCGTCGCCGTAGAAGGCCGTCGTTCACGCAGATCATGGGTGAGATTAGTGCGCCCACGTCTAAACCAGCTGTAAACAGTGGCACGATATGGGACTTTATCGTGAGATGCCAATAGAAGTCTATCATAACTTTCTTGTTGACTTAAACATCAAAGGTCGAAAGTCATAAAAAATCATTGCATAAAAATTTTCTCGCGTTAAATTCATGCTGACGTGACACAGACAATTTTCAATTTGCCGCCAAATTGTAAACAAATGACCAATTAATAAAATACATGCACAATAATATTGGCAAAGAGTTTCATTTTCAAATTTGAACTTATTTTTGTATTATATCGTTTAAAAGTGGCCAAAAAAAAAACACTAAAAAAAATCTAAAAACTTTCAATGTCGCCCTTTCAATGACTTTGTGTTGCACTGCCGGGAATTTATAGATAGATGTTAACCGTGATCACCTTTGTACCATGGTATGTGAATGATTTGATTTGTAAATTTTGTTATTTTCAAAATATTGAAAAGTTTTTTTAATCTTTTTTGAACACCACTCCCTATAAGTCTGATTTGAAAATAAGTCCTTCAGTTACGATCATTTTTAGTCGTTATAGCGGTCAAACCGTAAACTCATGTCACTTATTAAGTGGCGAAGCTTGCGAAGTCATTTATTGAATTCACGATGTCTGTCCGTCTGTCCGTCTGTACCACGATTATCTCGAGAACGGTTTTGAATTTTCAAATTCTGTTTTCAGCAATCGATTACTGATCACCCAGGCATCTGAACCTCCTATTTTGAAACTGATTGCTCAACGGCAACCGTTAGAAACCGCTACAAAGCTGATTGCTTCGCCACTTTGCTATGCTGTTAGCTTGCTAGGTTTATTATGCTCATTATCAATAAAGTGTACATATTATTGTGACACTGCGGAATACATACTGCGTGGCCCGACACGCACTTGGCCAGATTATTATTAATTATTTTTAAATTTATGCTTATTGCCAATATTTTTTAAGATTTTTTTTTATAGTATCGAGTGACAAACGAGCACACAGTCCACCTGATGGTAAGTGGTTGCTGTGGCCCATAGACATCTACACCTATCTTCGTTTGCGAATCAAAATGCAGATGCGTTGTCACTCGTGAGGACTAAGATGGAATGCCTCTTATCCAGTAAAAAGGGTCTCCGGTTCTCTACACTCACCATACGAAACACAGCAGTGTTAACTGCGTTAAGTGTTAACTAGTGTTAAGCTGCTATTTTACGCTGGTATTCTGTGAGAGCGTGGTCCTTCCCCGGTCGAGCTGACCCATTCGTGCTACAACTATTACTACTAATATAGCTGCAGCATGGCTCTACTACGTATAACATACCAGGTACATTCAAACGGTAATATATGGTAAAACATTATGTAGCCTAATATTCTGTCTGACCGTATCTTAAAGTATATTTTGAGAGAAGTTTTTGTCCATATATCACAGTACATGTTTGTTCTGTTTGAGCAATTACCGACCGTTATTTGTTAATACATCATTACATTTACAGATAGGAAATTGCACCAAGGGACTCGGTCCCACGATCTCGAGGTCACCGGTCGATGTAATGTGTTCCCAATGCAGTGTCGGCGCCGTTCACAGCGCATCCAATCCAACCATCAATTTCTCGTTTACTGACGGCGTTGATTTATAATATTATTTTATATATATACTGATAGATGCCGTGGTAGCTCATGGGCTTAGCGCTCTCTGTACATTTCAATGTACGCGAGCAACCCGGGTTAAACAATACATTAGAGATTAATTTTGCCCTTGTTTTGACGATAATTCTTGCATAAATATTATTTAGCAATCATTACGATCATTTGAGTATTATAGCTATATATTTTAGGTGTTAGTATTCCTTTTCTTTCTGAGTCCGTTTGGGTAGCTACCTACCATCCATTTGACCTATTTCTGCCGCCAAGCACTATTGCGTTCACTGAACTATTCCGAACTGAAGATTATGGAGAACCAGTATAATTACACGCTGCGAAGCATTCTATCTTACTCCTCACAGGTGACAACACATATGTAGCCTTCTTTGTGTTAAGTTGGCTACAGGTGTCCATGGCTTGAAGTAGCCACTTACGATTAAGTGGACTGTAGGTTCGTTTGTCATTTCAGTTTTATAAAAAAAAAGAAAGCTGCAACATGAATTTCGACCAGGGAGGGACCATTCTCTCATGGAATTCTATCTCAAATTAGCAGTATAAATATAAATATAGCCAGAGATCCTTTATACTGGTACATTCTTACTCAAGGAAATATGTAGGTGTATATGGACCGAGGTAAGAAGAAAGTATGAAACTGTAATGACCACTTTTAAAGCCTTTGCCAAATCGTTTGAATAGTCGGGTTGGTCTTAAACAGTTATTGGGGTATTTTTGTTCAAAAAATTGTGTTTCATCCAGGTGACTTCGGAAGCACTTAAAGCCATTGGTCCTGCGCGTGGTTTTTCTCCGGTTTTATAGGAGTGCTGTCCCATCGTACTACGAAAGCGAGGGAATTGGGAGTCCGCCTATGCTTGTGCAGACGCTCAATGCACTAAGTTTATTTTGCTTAAAGGGCTAGTCTCTGTTGTGACTGGCCGTCGTGAAGATATGGGGTCTGGAGGACATCAAAATTATGATGTTTTTCTTTTATGAAATTTAGTATAAGTAAAATAGTACAATCCAAATATTCCAAATATCTTGTTCAAGGATTATCTCGTTCTAGAATATTTAAGAAGTCGACGGATGCAATAGGAACTTTTAGATGTTTTTAAAAATAATTTTAAAATATGAATTGTTACTTACAGTTAAATATCCCGCGTAACTTTCCATGTCGGGCAGAGTGTAACCTGGGTCAACTAACGCGGCCTTCCTCGCCTCCTCCAATCTTTTCTCTTCAATGTACGGTGTAAGGAGTAAGGGTTCTCCTGCATCATATCCTGCTCTCCAACGCTTGCTCTGGTATGTCTTTTCCATAAAGGTCAAAATAGGTTCCGGTGCCTCCCCCGGAGGCAATTCAGGTAATAAATAATGTTCCATACATGAAATAAGTTGTGTGATCCTATAAAAATATTAGATTAAATAGCTTTTACATAACATAATTATATTAATAAAATAATAATTAAATATTAAATTAGGTAATTAGTTTTTGGAAAGTGATATTCATATTTAAGTAGAAGAATCATCCCTTTTGATGAATGTATTTCGAGAGTAGTATAATAATAATTATTGAAAACTTAAAAAGTATTTATAATTTGATTATTTAAGTAAATATTACTTTTTAATAAAATTATAAATCTTTAAAATAACTTTTAAAGATTTATAATATTTGAATAATAGTAGTGAAAAAGAAGACTTACGACAGCAAAATCGTCCACCGTGGGAGCATGATCGAGCCTAATAGTGATCGGAGACTGGGTACAGTGCGATGCTCTCGACACACAGATTTTTCGAAGCGGAATGGAACCGGAGTACTAGCGTCGGAAACCTTGTATACCCCCGCAGCTCGCTCGTACTTGCGACTTGAACTTGGATTTATCTCTATCTTAAATACGGGGTGTCCGGTTTTACTGGTTTATAATCATTCCCATCAATATATTGACGATATTTCATCGATATCTCAAGCTCATAAGAATTTTCATGACTGTGCAAGAGCATTAAGACTGGTAACTGTAATTTCAAGTTTAATATATTTTGAGCTCAGATATTAAATTCTGAACATGTCAAATGGTAATGGTATGGTATTTTGGTATGTGGTAATGGTATTTTTAAGAAACGTACTTAATAAATACTTACATGTAAATGGCCAAACACTGAGGCATGTATAGAAAAATAATGTATAGAAACATTATATTGTGTATAATTAAAGACAACCATATATTAACGTTATATTTTATTAACGTTTACAACACTAGAAATTTTTCCTGTGCTGTGAGGGCGATGGTATATTCCTTTATGGAAGAACTGGTGACTCCACCGGAATCCACTGGATGGTAAGTGAATACTGTGGTCCATAGATACCTTTGATTAAAAATCATAATGCAAGTGCCTTGTCACTTTCGAGAACTAAGATGGAAGACCTCGTTATCAGTAAAAAAATATCTCCGGTCTCGTCACTCACCATTTGAAAGATGCCATGAGAATCCGACAGAAGGATATGAAACGGGAGATGAACACAAGCATTGGTCTTATAACAACTCAAAATAAATACCTGCGATTGCCTCCCGCCTGCCTTGCTAAATATGGCAAATATCTTTCCTATGAGGCTCAGCAGTGGACTTTTAAAAGGCTGTATGTAATGAATATTTTCTCATCTCAATTTATAATAAAATTTAAAAAAAAATCAATTATAAATATTAACCATTTTTTATTAAATTCTACATAATGTGAAGAATCTGTGTACAAATTAATGGGGTAAATCTTAACGGCTATTTTGTTGTTCGATAATCGCATCAACCTGTATAATTCCGGAGAACAGGTATGGGGTACCAATGACCTGTTTAGCATAAACTCGCTCCCACGCTCCCGACATTCGCGATAGATTCTTGCACGCTCTTAAAATGTGATTTGCTCTATATTTAGGATGTGTAGTAAAACAAACATCGACGCGGTACAGTTGAGACGTGAACGCGGTCGATAATAGCGCATTACGGTGGCAACTATACAATAGGCTCCGTAGTAATAATTTCCCACGGTCGGGGTTTTTTTCGGAGTGTAAAATTGACATTCAGAGCATGTTTTTGAGCGGTCGGAGCTCGATGATCCATTTAAGACGTGAATTGGAACTTTTCCAAAAATCCGGCAAGGCGCACTAATAAAAATGAATGTATTGATTTTTTGTATAGTATTTTGATTTAAGGTTTTTTTTAATTCATATATAAAGAGCTTTGTCGCTGATGCGATTATGCCGCCCTGGTAGTTACAAAAAAAATCTTAAATATAATTACTAACAAATAAACTTATTATGTTTACTAGTTACTTAATCTCTTATTAACTAACAAATACAGTATTTTGGCATCATCTGATAACGGGTCGGATAAAATACTGTTACTACTACCAATTAAGGACAAATGTAAATTACAATTTACTTTTTCTCTTGAGTTCTGGGCACATTCAATCAAAATGTGATAAACATCATCGATAATATTACAAATTGAACAATTTGGTGAGGTATTGATTTAAGGTATGTGAGGGTAATATGATCATCTTAAGCTTTGCGTTCCTATACAAACAAAACTAGGAGTAGGACAGAGACAAAAACACAAAGTCGTATACAATAATAAATATATTAAGAAAAAAATTGTAAACAAGCTTTGGCAATAATTAGTAACACTTCGAAAAATTAACTTAAAAAATTAACTACACTACACAATACTCAAAACGACTAAAATATTTACTGTAAAGTCAACTGTCAAAATGGCGTCGATAAAGCAGCGCCCTTTTGACCCTTTACTATTTGGTTGAAGGATGAAGAGCTATTGTATCACAGAGCCATCCACAAACAAGGCTGTAGTGTTTGAGTTATAGGTAAGTGACTATATTAACCGGATGAGCATATTACCCTCACGTACTATAATTAAATAAATTACTTATGTAATCTGACTGTGTAGTGGCGGTTTAACAGTATCGACTACCTCATATCGTCCCGTGAGTGTTGCATCTTCCTAATAACTACCAGAAAATAAAACACTGCGGTTGCTAACCGGTCTGCCCAGCGTGGCAACTATATGGCAAATATTCCCCTTGATATATGATATTATAAATCCCTACATACCCATTTATTTATCTTTTTATTTAAGCTAATTTAGGTCGCTGATTACGTATAAAATATTTTACACGTACATCTTATACACTAGAATACATGACAATCATTGTAAGTAAGCAACAAAATTGCAAAATATCTAAGTATGACGAAAGTTTAGAACGATTAAAAAAGATGTATGGAGTGATCTTAGTATAGTAGATTTAATTATTAATTTTATAAAACCTACCAAGTATTTTGTAGGATAATAGATTATGATGCTTGCGTATAATAGTTGAGCCATTTTAACCGACTTCAAAAAGGAGGTGGTTCTCAATTCGTGTGTATGTTTTTTTTGTATGTTAAGCTATATATTATATCTTCGCAGATTGTGAACCAATTTTGATAGTTCTTTTTTTTATTAAATAGGTTATACTTCAAGGGTAGTCCCATATAAATTTGGAGAAAAAATTTCACCCCTAAGGGTAACAAATAAATAACTTCTTTTTAGCAATTTGAAGTCGGTTTTTACTTTTTGTTATAAGCTATAATTATTTGTGGAACAATTTCATTTAATTTTTTAAATAGTCCACCTGATGGCAAGTGGGCACTGTGGTGTATTAGACATCTTCATCTGTCTTCGGTCGAGAATCAAAATGTAGATGCTTTGCCATCTCGAGGGCTAAGATGGAATGCCTTGTATATTATTAAAAAAAAGTATCCGGTTCTCAGCACTCACCGTACAAAACACAATAACATTTTGACGATTGCAGACTTTTATAGAAGAAAAAACCTTATTAATTTACATAAGACTAGGCTCAGATAATATTGATGATTTATAGTTGTTTTAGGCCCGATTTTTTAATCGTAAGATGAAAGTTATGATTCAAATAAGTTAAAACCAGATTGAATACAAACTTAAAACAATCGAACTATTTTATTCATACAAACGTATTTATTTTTAATTTATGTTGTATTTTCTTCTATGAATAAGTTTTATCTGAGGATTTAAAAATCATGCCTTATTGATATATAATATAAAGAAGAGACACAATAGATCACTTTTACAAATAATTAGAAAACGCAAAATTAGACGCAGAAATATTTAAATTAGCAAAACATCGAAATTACCAAACAAAGGATATGAAACGTAACAAATATATCAAGGATTCATCTGGTAAATTGTTAACCACAGACAAAGAAAATAGTGAGAGGTGGCAAGAATACTACAAAACACTACTCAATGAAAAAATTCCACAGGAGTCGCTAACATTCCTTCCATTCATGGAAGAACTAGATGAAGTAATTTTACCCCAGAAAGTTGAAGCAGCCATGAAACAATTGATAAAATTAAAAATTTTGTCCAACCGACTTCCATATAAATATAATTTATCGTCGTCGTCGAAGTCGTTTTTTTTTTCTACGTGGTAGAGCCATGCTGCAGCTATATTATGGTTGTAGCACGAATGGGTCGGCTCGACCGGGGAAGGACCACGCTCTCACAAAAAACCAGCGTAAAATAGCAGCTTAACGCCGCTGTGTTTCGTATGGTGAGTGTAGAGAACCGGAGACCCTTTTTACTGGCAAAGAGGCATTCCATCTTAGTCCTCACGGGTGACAACGCATCTGCATCTTGAGTCTTTATTGAGGATAGATGTAGATGTCTATGGGTCACAGTAACCACTTACTATCAGGTGGACTGTGTGCTCGTTTGTCACTCCATCCTATAAAAAAAAAGACCGCTCGACAGATTTCGATAAAATTCAAATGAGACCACCTGGAAAATATGCCCTTTGAAACAAAAAAATATTTTTCAAATTGGTTCAGGCGTCTTCGAGTAATCGGTGAACATACATAAAAAACCAACAAATTGAGAACCTTCTCCTTTTTTGAAGTCGGTTGAAGAAAATACCGGCGTAGCATGGCTAACAAAGCTGTCTGACGTATCCTTCTACATGAATAGAGGGGATATTGCGGACTGTGGCTGTGGAAGTTATAGAATAGTAAAAGATCCGGTTTAGTAGTAGTATTTTATACGTGGTAGAGCCATGCTGCAGCTATATTAGTAGTATAGTTGTAGCACGAATGGGTCGGATCGACCGGGGAAAAACAACGCTCTTACAGAATACCAGCGTAAAATAGCAGCTTAACACTTCTGTGTTTCGTATGGTGAGTGTAGAGCAGGGCTCTGAACCGGTTTAAAAAGAGCGGTTAATTTAGGTTAATTACCGGAAAATTTATCGCTCCTTCTATTACCGGTTAAAAAATTAACCGGTTTTTATTAAACCTAAACGATAAAGGTTACCGGTTACTTAATGGTTTTGACACTCAAATTAACCGGTTAATTCCGTAAAACGTAAAGGCAGTTATGAATAGGACAGGTAGATTCACGTTGCGAGGTGCTTATGCAGCATCGCCGCATGCGGGCACACTTATCAATTATCTGCCTTTAAGCGATACGTTGTTTTAGTCGCGATCAGGGTGTGTAGTGGGAGTTTGGCGTGTACGAAAAACGTGATAGTATTAGAGAAGTTTTGAAGAAAGAAAGGCAGTTATTGTGTTTGCTTTATTCGTTAAGACTGGACTTGTCTCATAATGAAGAAAATAATTTATTCTTGTGTATCGGTTGTTTATTTATGATGGGCAGA